AATTACCTATCAATAATCTTTAATCTGCCTCCAGGTGCCCACAACCCTATGTCTCCTGTATGAAGCCATCCTTCTTCATCTACTACTTCTCTCCTGAAAAAAATCTTATAAATGTTAATCATAAAATATTGTCTAATGGATATAAAATTGCAATTCATGTCCCATTGACATCAGTCGAATGCATGACAAAAGCAGAAGAGAAGAGAGTAAGGATTATTATATTTATAGTTTTATACATACGTTTGCACTTCATCTTTGTAGTAACCTTGGAACACAATTGGGCCCCTCACACAAATTTCACCTCGAGGGTATGGTTCATCATCCGATGTATAGTTCATCTCAGGAACATCCACAAGCTTTACCTCTAAAACACAAATATTATACATCAATATTTGATTTATGTATTATAGCATTAGAATTGTACTTTGAAAAATCTACCCAATCAAAGTAATTTTGTAAATTGTAATGAACAAATTATATAAAACTAACCACATGCAGCATTAGGAGCTCCTACATGACCAGAGAGGACATCATGCTCATTCATACAAGTTATAACACAAGAACTCTCAGTCATTCCATACCCCTCCATTACTGAACAACCAAAGCACCTGAAAAATATAAAATTTTAAATACAAGAAATAGAAATCTACTTTCAGTGATTGCTTATTGTATATAACATCCTGCTTTCATTTCATCTTATTATGACATTGTAATTTCAAAAATCTTCCCAGTTTTAGCAATGCCTTACAAACACAAAGCAATTTCACTTTTTGATTAGGTGGATTTTTTTAAAAATGAAAGTGTAATGCTATAAATGGTATATTTTTTAAAGTATAATGTCATGATAACTTACACTTTAAGAAAATCCATGACATCAGGAGACAAGGGTGAAGCACCTGAAACCATAAAACGAACCCTTCCACCAAGTTTGTTTTTTATTTTGTTAAATACTAATCTGTCCCACATAGGAGATGCATTCTTTCCTGAAAGATAATATTAGTCAGATTATATTATCTAAACTATTTTAACCTTAAAGGTGCTAAAAAAAAGGTTTGTTAATCGTTACCTTTAAGTAATGCTTGCCTCTTTGCATTAAATGCAGCATTAAACAGTCTTTCTTTAAGTCCACCAGATGACTTCACTGCATTCATAACACTGCAATAACCACTCACCTAATTATAATTGAGTATCAATAAGCCATACTGATTGAAAAAATAAAAAACTTTATTATACCCATCATATACTCTATTATATAATCGTGGAACACTGCAGAAGATAGTAGGTTTCAATTCCGCCATGTCATCCAATAATTTCAAGTTGTCCTACATGAATGAAAAAAAAGTGTAAAGTTTTGACCCCACCCCATTAAGTCAAAAAGAAACAGCAGTTTTGTCATGATGTGATTAAGTACAATAAAGAAATCATTATCATGAACTTAATTTGGAAAAAACAAAAAATTTGAGTTTCTTACTCCTTGATAAAATCCAACTGAGCCACCATAGTATGCCAACAAGATCTGGTTGCACCTTTCATATATGTGTGCCAAAGGAAGATAAGATATATATCTGAAATTTAAACATGGAGCTCATTACAACAAAATAATGGTGAAACAATTGACATTTTAACCTATTTAAGACAGTTAATACTTACACATCTGATGGATAGAACATAATTTCAAAACTTCCACCAGCAACATTTGCAATCAGGTTTCCATGGGAAAGTACAGCCCCCTTAAGACAGTTAATACTTATGGTAAGAAAAGATTCAACTTTGGTAGACTTAAAAAGAAAAAGCATAAGTAAATAAGAAATAAAAAAACCTTTGGTGTCCCAGTTGTACCACTTGTATAACATATTGTAGCCACATCATCTGGTTTTGGTGGACGAAAAGGGTGTCGATCATTACTTCCCTAAAAAGCACCAATTCATCAAATGGCAGAAATCATAAAAGATTAACTCGAATCAAATAAACTCATGTTATAATCGGAGATGTTTAAGTGTGTTACTATGATAACAAGATAGAGTTAGTGAAAAGTTCAGCAAAGTCAAACACTAAATGATGATTCAACAAAAGGATTTGAAGTTACCTGAGCAATAAGCTTTGAAAATGATACAACCTTAACCCCAGTTGCTAATGGAAAAGATGGCAATAGCTCATCTAGTCCTCCAACCACCTATATTACAAGTCAATATTCAGTAAAGAATCTTATGAGTGAAATTGATTAGAAATGAAACAAATGATTAACCATCATACCACTATCAAACGCACAGAAGGCATCTCTGACAAAAAGCTCAGCAACTGAAATGTCAAAGTGATTAGCAACTAATCACAAATATTAACCATTTAAAAGTATCAATGGGAAAAAAAATAGGTGGAACTTACAATATGCATTGTCTGTGGCACACAAAATATGGCTTCTGCAGAAGAGTGATTCACAATATACTTCACAGCATCCGGACCTACAAGATTTGGCAATAAATACATTTGCAGCATAAAATAAAGAAAGGTGATTTAAAAGTTTGAAAAAATAATGAAGGACAAACCAAGGGTATCATATAAAGGGACAGATATGTATGAATATGCAGAGCAAGCATGATCAACAATTATCCACTCGGGTCTGTTGATGAAGTATAGTCCAATACATGATCCCTGTTTCAATGTTATACAATTCAACTTATAAGACATAATATTAAAAAAAAAAAAAAGTACAAAAACCAACAAGGAGAAATTAGTATAATACAAGTGACATGCCTTGGTTATTCCATGGGCTACTAACCCAGAACCAATAGCTGATCGAGCTGTGGCTGCTTCTCCATAAGTTGTCCATTTGTATCTTTAAAGAAAATGAAGATAAATTATAAAGTATTTGTACCTAATCTGCCTTAAAAAATAATAAACTAGTTAACATACTCTCCAATAGTTCCATCTTCACGAATCCGTGTACCCAAATACTTGTAATCCCGGAAGGTTTCAGATGCATGCCTATAGTGGAAGCAAAGTATTGATGTTTTCTTTGTCCAAGATTTGCATAATATATACAATTTCAGTGAAGAAAGTATGATATAGTGAACTTAGACATGTAGAAAGTAGATGCTTACACAAAATTATCATGTAAAGTAGCAATGTCAGGATGATTAGGAAATCTACTGACCAACTTTAGAGGAGAGGCGGCAGATCTGTTACCAAAAGAGAAATAACTTCCAATATTAGTGAAGTAATTGAGATAGGGGTAATATGGGAAATCATCAGAATAAAGAGCAGCTTATGTGGAGGGGTATTTAGGGAAAATTGGAGCCTGTTCTAATTCTTTGATGGTTATGGTTGTCATGGATGATGGAACATCCCTTGAGCAAAAACCTGTATAGATGCTACCAGGTATCTTTTATTGATAAGCCCCGGTTAGAAAATGGTGATAAAATTATAATGAAACAAAGTGATACTCGTCTCAATGAATCTGAAACTTCAGTACATTTGCCCCATCAATTGATGGAGGATAAAGATCATCAAAAAGGGTTCAATGTTCAGTTTGGAAATCCATCTCCTTAAAGATTTAAAGCCTACATATCTTGATAATTTCAAGGTGTCCTCTGTTAAGGATGTGAAGAAGCCAAAAGTTCAAGATAAGTCATCTAATGAACCTTGTGGAAAAAAAAAAGGTTAAAAAAACCTTTTGAACAGAAGTCTTCCCAGGTACAGTATGCTGCTGACCTGGCAAGGTCAACATCTAAAACACAGCAGTCAAAGCAATCGGAAACTGAAGTGAACAAACTCTGTGTTCAGCAAAACATGCAACATGTGATGAAAGCTGACCAAGCAATTGAGAAGACATTTCTAATTGGAAAGCAATTGAGAAGTCGCCTGGGAGAATTTGGTATCCACCTTGACTGAGGACAAGGTGATTTTTTTGTAGGGGTATTTAGGGTATTTACTATATTTAATTTGTTGCAACAGTGCTTATAAGAGGGTACAGAGCATGTGGGTATCGTCATCTATCTTTTATCTGAAATCTGGATTTTTTTTCGCGAATCAGTCAAAATTATCTTTCTTTCTTACAATCATTTGGGTATTATTGAGTGTATAAAGCAATATTGGAAGCATTTGGTTGTTTTTCTAATGTTGAATCTGTTCTTACAAGTCCGTTCATAGCAGGTTTCAAGCAATGTAATGTTTGATGATGAACTTACCTGTAAACATTCCACTTTCCTGTCTTCAATTTCTCTGGAAGAACAACACTGTACCCTTGTTCTGCCACAGAAACAAAATCAGTAACTATGGTGATGAAATGTAGAGCAAAAGAAGAGGGTTTACATTAAGAATGTATATATGAATATGAAAACTAGAGTTGATAAAAAAAAAAACAGGGAACATAAAAATGCACATCTATTAGATGACTTATCATGAACTTTTGATGATTGAACAAACTAATATCAAATCCTAACCTTCGTGAGTGTCCTTCAAACCATAATCCCCAAAATTAACCCAAGTGTGAAACGTATCAACTCCTCATTTATTATTTCACAAATCACAATCTTCTCCTATTAAACTAATTTCGTTCAGAGTTTTTAGAAAGTGGACTACATAGATGCATACTCTCATGGATTCCAAAATTTGATATGCCATATAAAACTTTTAGGCGTTTAGCTGATTCTAAAATATGCCAGATTCTAAAGTAGTTTCCCACTCATACCACAAACACTATTGCATTAGAAATCCAAACTAACCACATAAATAACAATAGTTCCCTTATGGATATGCGTTTCAGAGTGTGTGTGTGTGTGTGTGTGTGAGAGAGAGAGAGAGAGAGAGAGAGAGAGATACTAGTGAAAAACTCCCCGGCTGTTTGGTTTTGTTGCACCGTTGACAGAGGATCGGCGGCGGCAGAGGTGATGTGGTCTTGAATAGTTTGAAGCCGGCGGCTGGCTTTAGATTCCATTGAATTTTTTCGGGAACGATGAAAATGAGAGATTATCTTCTAGTCTCGCAGATTCAAACTTTTGTTACTCAATGTGTATGCATATATAAAATATTGAGAGGGAGATAATGTAGGTGAAGTTTGGAAAGTTGATGAACTTCATACATATATGGAATGTAATATTGGACGGTTAGATGCTGGTTTCTGTATTCAACTTCAGATTACCCTACGTTTGAATGACATAACGTTCAACACATATGTGCCGGCACGTATGTTATTATTATTGTTATTATTATTATTATTATTATTATTATTATTATATATTTAGTTCAATTATAGATCGACTTTGTATAATGTATACCTTTAATCATATTAGTTCTAGTTATTTTAGACAAAAATACAAGATAAATCAAATTTAATGAAGAAAATATTAACCTTGTGATTAGTATTGCTATTTTAGGTTAATTAAAAATAAAGGATGTTTTTCTTGAAAATACAATAGATAATATTTGAGATAAAAGAATATTCCAACTACCAATAAGACCTCAGTTTTGCCTACCGGTGTGTACTTGACTTATTATATTCAGAGAAAACTGCAGAAAGGGTCCTTTGCTTTGCAAATTTTTTTTGGATTTGGTCAGAAAATTATCAACTTGCAAAATTTGTATTTTTTTTTTAAATTTTAATGTTGATTTGGTTCCTAAAACTAACATTAACATGTGTTTGTTTATTCTTATGAGTTATGAGTGATGCTGAAATGACCATTTGTCTTTTGTATATTCTTTTTATAGTTTATATCATTTAATTGCATAAAAATAATTATTAATAAACAAAAAAATTAACTCTCTGTCCAGATATTACACTCACCCCTTCCATCCTTTGTCGTTGATCTCGACAAGCATCGTTGACCATCTTCTCATGTTACCTTCTCCAACCATTTTCACAGAAACTGTGTAAACACATAAGAAACAATCGATCTAATAACCATAAATTTACAATTGTTCATTTCATCGGTTACACCGGAAGTATGAGTGGTCAGGTTTTCATTTTTCACAAAGACATGATGTGCATCATCTACCAAAGCAAAGATAGATAATTATTTTAATGTCTTAATTAGCATCCAAAACACAAATAATCAAATAAAACAAGTATCAAAATTTGAAAATTAAATTAAAAGCCGAAACTAACATATATATGGACAAACTTTCGGTTCATGTTTTCTTTACTTTAAAGACATTGATGTTTTAAGCAATTAATTGAAAAACACTAGTAAATTTGTAAGGTCCTTGTCAATGATCAATTAAATAATTTAAGTTTATACTAAAATATTTGTATCCAAAAAAGAAGAAAATTAAATGAAACTTCCTAAATATACTCCGGACTTGAAAAGTCTCCTAAAATTTGCAAAGATATCAAAAAATTTAAAGAAACAAATACAAACATTTACCATGTCTCTAAGATCTCACGTAGATGTTCGACTACTTGTTCTATTAAGAAAATGGGCTATGGCGGACAATGGTTGTGATAATACTCGCACCTGAGACCTTCATTTTCAAACAAAAATATCTTTGAAAATAACATAATTTGTTAACTAAATGTTCTAGAAACAGTAACCAAGGTTCTAAAAAGCTCGACATGGCTCCGCCATGACACGCCATGACTCCAAAGCTTGTATATGTCGCCAAGCTTTACCAAAATGCCGCCTTGACCCATATATATGTATAAAAATGAATAATAGTAGAAAATACATATAAAAATATGAATTATATACAAAATTGCCGTCTTAAGTCACGCCTAACAAACGACGTGACTCGCCAAGGCTCGGAAAAGCTTGAGGCTTGACATTGCCGCCAAGTCACGCCTTACGTTATTTAGAACCTTGACAGTAACCGACGAGCAATTTTGTGGTTTTATTGGTGTTTCAACAAGCAACAATGATGGAGAACTCTCATTATTAAGTCAAAGTTCACAAGTGATTATTCATATACGAATATGACAGTTGCTGGCGGTTGCGGTGGCGGAATGGTGGTGGCAGCGGTGGCGGTGACGGCGATTGCAGTGGCAGAGGTGGTGGCAATGGTGGCAGAGGTGGTAGTAGGGGTAGTGGTGGCGGTGGCAGTGGTGGTGGCGGAGGTGGTGGTGGCAGGGGTGGTGGCGGAGGTAGCGGTGACGGAGGAGATGGAAGGTGGTGGATTCATATATAAATATATGTAAATTTATATTAACATATGAATATCATCTCCCCTCGTCGTGCCAGTACGACGGAGGGCTTTGCGGCAAAATATAAATGAGTGACCGACATTGATTCCTCCGGTCTAAACATTTTTTTCTTAATTGAACTTATATATA